TTTCTTAAAGTTCAAAGGGAACAGCATGGCAATCAAATGCAGCATCTATTACATGTGCTGTGGCTGCACATGTGGTTTACAGTAATACCTAATGCAGAACAACGTTTAAACAATCCATTATATAGTCCAGAGTTAAGACAGTCTTTCACATGACAATGGTGGGGATACGTATTTTTGTGGGGAAACATTAATAAGAGAATTGTTGAATGTACCAGAAGAACAACAGCAACAATTGAAGTACAGCACAAGATATTGAAGACATTTGGCAAGAAATCTGGCCATTGGTGAGTATCTTCTCCATGCACATCCATAATCAGTGCAAATCAATTAATTCTGGCCGAAAAATTGCCGTCGTAACGACGAATTTTAGTGACGTATTTCTCCTAGATTTCCGCGCAACTCCGATGGTAATGCAAGGATTTCGATCGGCATGTGTAGCAAAAATTATGTGAAAATTAATCTGATAGCTTATACATATTTCTAGTATTCTTGTAAATATTCTTGTACCAAAGGAAAAAAATTACTATTTATTTCGATGCACCAAATTATACATCATATCAATGATTCCCATGGCTTTCGTTATGCTTACCCTTTCACGCACTTTAATAACAGTGATACTGAAAAATGTGCCGTTCTGTTTTTCCTCTATAAATGAGGCAGATTTTCTCCCTTCACGCTATACATCTGAAAAATCTAATTTTTTATCATACTAGATCTCTTTCCCAATACCAAAAAAAAACATGTTCATCCGCTTGACTCCAATGGTAGATTCTTAAACTTTGCAAGCAACCCCATTACCATTCACTTCGATGTCTACCATACCAAAAAATAACCTTGACTGGTTCGTAGTTGATGACATCCTTGAATTAGCTGGCACTGTCATGAAACTAAAAGACATATACCGCCGCTACATACAGTAAAATAAATTAGGTTACATTCTTTCAATTAAACAGTCATGTAACATCTATTTATTTCCACTCTACAATTTAATGTCAGAAGTCTGCAACAAATGTGCCCCTTGCTCGAACTTGGTTACAAGCAATTGGCATAATCAAATTTCCAGCCCAAATACACAATAATGCGACAATATTCCCCATCCAAACATCGGTTAAATTTTGTAATGATATATTCGTTAATTGTTTCCCTCTTTTATCTGCTCATATATGGGTGTATAATGTGGCACAAATGTGTATTTTATCATGTGTGCCCCTTCTCAACAAACGTAGTTATGATAATTTTGCTTCTCTGAAAAGGTAATATGTATCTGTGACAATGAACGTAATTTGAGATAATGAGCCATAATACCCGCGACGATTAGGTAATGGAAATTGAACATGTGGACTTCTGCATCACAATAAATCTATATGGCTTTATTACTGCATAAAATTAAACGTATTCACAAGTGACACTTCTTATTACAAAAATTTTCGCATACTTTTTTGTTACCATAAACCCATTATGCATTTTTGTATCTTTAGCTCCAAAAGCCCTCGTTTACTTACGATAATATTTTACAAATCGCTATAATTTAACATGCCAATGATAATTTGCAGAGTACAGTCAAACATCGTTATGATGCATTTAGTTACCCACTTTCTTCTTGCCTCAAGCACCGAAAATTGAATAATTCTTTCTTATTATCAAATTATTATAAGTCGCAGATCCGAGTTGACCAAAACCAACATCCTTGCATTTTAATCTCTCTAGACGCAACCTCGGGAAATTTATAATCCGCATTTTTACTATAGGCGCATGTTACACAATTTATGCCTCTGTCGTGGTAAATAAAAAAAATACAAATTTGCCTTAAATAATCAAGGATATCTTCCGGAATTCCTGCGTATTTGCAAACTGAACAGCTTCCAGCTGCTCTACCAACGTTCGCAGTAACTAATTATTACACATAATCTAAATGTTCGGTGAATGAAATAATATTGCAAAATGATTGACCAATCATCAATCGCATTTTAGGCCAAAACGATGTATCCTGTCCTGCAGTAATTCTGCGATAACTAGATAAAGACAAAAGCCAGGAATAATGAATATTGTAAGTTAAGTAAATGAGATTTGAGTTGAATGTTAAGTCAAGGTTATTATGGAAGGCTTTTTTAAAATCCAAGCTATGTGCTTGACGCCACAGCTAATGTATTGAATGCTCAGCTTTAAAGTTATAATAAACAATGCCCTTTATTTTCATATACGAATGGTTTAATTCGTCATCGTTTTATCAACTTGTAACGACCTGTTTTTTTCAAGACTAGCGTAGCATAAACGCCTATTACTATAGTAAAAAGTCAACATGGTAATAGACAAATACAAACTAAGGCTAATAATTTTAAGGATAAGTTTATAGGAACAAGTTGCTAAAATTAGATTAATTTCTTATCAGTATACACAATGGACAATAATAAAAGCAAATTTTGATTATGCAATAATGTAAGACAATGACCCAAAAAAAAACAAATGAGAGTGGGAGAAAAAGAAGGGGGGTAAAAAAATACTGGCTACATTCAGTGAGCCGTCGCGTCATCTTCTCAAATACAAACTTTTTCGCGGACAAGACAATGACGACTGGCTGCTATAACAAGATTTTCCCCAACGAAACTGGTTGTCGAAGTCAAGCCATCACTATAATCAAACCAACGTTCCTGTTTGTTGCGGTAAACTACTGTATGGTAAGTGGAGGAGGGAAGAGGGGAGGGGGGGAGCAACGTTTATAACAGTAAAGCGCACATATAATATGCCGCCCCTCATATTCGCGGATGAGGGTTTGACGTGCAAATGTGGTAAACGGAGAGGCTATTAAGCTACGATTTTTTTAACATGCGCTTTAGCATAAAAGATTTGGTAAAAAGTCCTGAACGGCAATCAAATACAAAGTGACTTGTTCTTCGGTATGACGGAAAACTGCCGCCTTCATATGTGGCACCTCAACGCAAATGAGGGTTTGACGTTTGCGAGCGTGGTAAATAGAGAGGCATATTAAGCTACATAAAAAATTTTTGTAAATTCTGAATGTTTTAATAACCAAAACGTTCATCGAAGTGAATCTATCTAACTTCTCTCTCTTTTTTCGCTTCCTTGTTTATTACAAATAAGTTTAATTTTCGGAAGGCGGTTTTCTTTGTTACGTTAAAACTCAAACCCCCCCCCCCTCACCATCACGCAACAAGACCTCAAATTCGCTCAAAGGATTATTGAATTATAAAATCAATTCACATTAAAATATTGACTTTTCACTCGACGCTGAAAGGTAATGATTATAATTATTATCGATTGTATTTAATGAGATATTACTAAACTTATTTCTTAGATCATGGCAAGCACGACGCAAAAAGGAAACGCATACGAGAAGAAAGTGTATGATATTCTATGGAAAGCAGGTTATGAAGTTGAATGGCGTGCTAGGTGAGTTTTCACTAAGTATCTTGTTGAATAGTCATAGTGTATCTGAAGGTATGCTGCCACCAGAGTGTAAAAAATCAGAGAAAATTGAAAGCGCATCGGGCCGCAACTTAAGATAGCGTTCAGGTAAATGCTTGATGTAGGTATTCGAGGGTACGCTGCCATTAGGTGTAAATCGAAGTTTTCGAAAGCTCAGAGGGTGCAACTAAATCGAAGCTTCGTTACCGAAAACCGACAGTGAGCATTCACGGGCGTAGTGAATATAACACCTTTAAAGCATTACGTAATTTCCTGATTATGGCAATCTTACGGTTGTGAACGTCTTTTCTCTGTTATTCGCGTGGTGAATAGGATACTTGATATACTATAATGCCCGTATATCTTGATAATGATGATACATATACTCATCAAATTTAATATAACATTCAGGAAGGCGATGGAGAAGTGGATCTAATTGTACGCTATATGAATTGTAAGGTTGTGATCCAATGTAAAATGTATCAGAGAAAAGTTGGTAAGTTTCCAAATTACAGAAATTATTTTGATAAAAACTAATTATTTTGATAAAAAACTAATTATTTTTTTAAGGCCCAGATCCAGTTCAGAAGATGTGATAAATGCATATATGAGGATTCGGAATGTCGTTATTTTGGTATTGTAGTGGCTCCCGAATTCTCTAAAAAGGCATACGAGTTCTCCTCGTCCTATATGACTATCATCTGAAAATACAATAGTTAAGGATGTAGGAGAACTTGTCATGGGTGAGTTAATAACAACTGAGGGAGTTAATTCAGCTGTACAGAGGATGCAGCTGGGTATTAATGAGAGGATGCAACATATAATAATAAAAGAAGAAGAGAGAAGTGAAAGGAGGAAATTAGAACAGAGATTGGAAAGATTAGAAATGGAGAATGTAGTTACAGAAGGAGTTTATAGAAACACAGAGGAGAGTTTGGCATGTAGGATTTTTTGTTATGTTTACTATCAGTCTTTTATAGGTTGTTTTATTTGTCATCAGGAAATCTGTTTGCTGAAATCTAACGTTTGTTGAACGCAAACGCTGAATGAACGCTAAATTAAGCATGTAAATTCTGCAAATGCTTTGTCAAGCATATTCAAACGATCAATAGTCAACAGCTACCCGAGCACTTAAACGCATTAATCTAGACGCGCATAAACGTGTGGTTTCTGCAAACGCTTATTAGGCGATTCGTCAAGCGTTTCAATTACTTTAATAAAGTATTTTAATATTTCTGACTGATATTGCATATTATTCCTGTAAAGGTAGTCTCACAGTTTAAGCATTCAAGTGTTAATTGATTTCTTATAAACGTAAGCACAATGGCTGTATAAACAGTCTATATGTCTTGCATAATGATACGTCCATTGTATTTTATAACATGTGACAAAACTCACTAGTCAAAGAAGCCTTTAAACATACAAATACCAAAAGTCACTCTCGAAGTACATTCTGTTGTGATTAATGTCTTTTTAAGTCAACAGTCATGTTACCACGTATTTAATCGTCAATTACAGTCCTTGCGTCACTGCCATTATAATCATATCCCAAACTAAGTCTTCGCCGAAGACTTTCTATGGAAGTGTAAGAATATATACGCTTTGTGCTTGTTCATCGTCCACCAATATTTCAACATCGTTAAACCAAGGTTGACCATGGAAATTGGTGTTCGCTCTGACAATACTACCTTTGCTTAGTGTTGCTGATGCGAAAACTGAAGACGAACATTATTCTCATCGTCTACGAAAATGTTCGGATCCATTAGATGTGTTTCTAACAATGATTCTGTATGTGAAAATCCGTAACAAAGCTTCTCTTGAAGTCACATCAGCAGATACTTCATCCAATTCTGTAAATGACATTAAGGCAATACAGAGATGGTTTCTAAGTAAAAGTGGTCAGCCAAGTGAATTATGTTATGGTTATCGTCTGGATCCTGGCATACAGAATTCATGGTATATAGAATGAATGTTAGCAGCTGTAACTTTCAAAAAATCAATTCTAGACCCATAGACCTACCCATTGAGCGAGACTCTAGAATCTCCTTTACCAAGGCCTGACAATGGAACCTCTTCTTGTTTCTGATAATCTTTACTGCGATATGTTCGCCAGTCTTATGATCAAGACACTTTAACACTCCCCCACCAAATAGTCACTCTACTCATCATCGAAGCCAAAGTCAGCTCTGTGCTTGCAGGTTTCTTGATTGCATTGGGAGCAGTGAAATATACATTTGGGTATTCGACTATTTCTGTGCGCTCGTATTGAGAAACGATATAGACCGAATGTCTTTAATGCTGTCTGCGGTTGTACCTTTTTGCATGAGATTCTTTGCCCCTCTTCTCCCGCTTGGGCTTTGCGTCTGAACACAATAGATCTGATAGATCTTGATTCAAATTTCTCCGAGGTTTCTTGCTGCCGTTATTAGAGCCAGTAACATTCGTTTTCCCCCTGGTTGACACTAGTCGTGTGGTTACTTGCGTCGACTTTCCACCGGATTGCAACATACTGCTTCCTGATGGACGTCTATTCCTCGGTGACAGGCGGCTAGTTTTTGAGCCGCTCGGCGAAGGCAAAGTGGCGTTTGTTGTTTTGATGACTGTGTGGCTATTCCAGTTGGAGTTGGTATTTTAGACGGAAAACTTGTAGTAATGTGGCGTAGACGGTATTTTCAAGCGAGTTTCGGATTGATTGGGAGTGTTTTGATGTTGGTGAATTTGGTCGAGCGGAGGCACGATGGTGAATTGTATGGAGAAAATAGTCTAATTTCGGGTGCGTGGTTTTACCGGGCATCATCTATTAGGCATAATACAAAAAAAAGTCATGAGTGGATGCGAAAGGGAAGTTGTGTCGATTTATAATATATTTTGTATAATGCTCAGTATTACAATTACAGATATACCGATTCACCTGTACTCTTGGTCGCCTCCTATGTCCATCAGTAGTGGCAGCTTTTTCTCGTCTAAAAAGCGATAGTCCTCCACTACTCTTTACGTCAGTGCTACCATATTTCTTTTCAATTCCGGATTCTTCGAGCCCGGTTGGTAATGGGGGTACAGGAGGAATATCCTCTCATTAACTCTATCCACTCCGCGACTTCGCGATCTTGGCTGCGGAAGCATGCTTGGAAGGGGGACAACTGGTATTTGCAATGGTGTGGATGGAATTGACAATGTTCGATGTTATACTGCGGGAATTGGGTTTGGCGGTGCAGCGTTAGGCAATGATGATGCGCTGATTGGCCGACTATAAATTCGGTTTGCACTACGTTGCGTGTTGAAAGCGGAAGCTGTAATTTGGTGAGTGCGTTGATTTCTAGTGATTTGCAGCTTGATTCAAGCCTCCCCTCCCAAGGCAGTGAATATGATGAACTTGATTGGATTGATGACTTTGAGGTAGAGTTAATTCAAGACGCTGCTGACCAAGTCATCTACTGCAAACGGGACGTTTATGAGATTATATTGTTACCTCTTGGTAATGATGAAAACTGTGCGTCAGAATTTATAAGTGAGTTTGCCAGAAAATACTCACTTCCAACACGCAAGCGTAAGCTCGATACTCTACCTAATCGGTTCAGAAGATATGCAAGATGGCTTAGTTGTCGCAACCGCATGATAAAAGGATTTACCAAACTCGACAATAACTAGTTTGAAGATTGTTACGCTCGCTATGGATTTTGCTCCGAATGTGGAATTCTCCGATACAGTCCCGTGGACATAAGGAGTTATCCAATGGATGGACTAGAAACTCGATGAGTTTATTAAGAAGTCACAAATACGAACAAACTCGGCAATTGATGTTTATCTGGAATGGATTTTGTTCTTAAATGGTCTACCTATCTTGTTGCGTGAAAGCAGTTCCACTTGAAATAACTGATGAGATAGATGATTCATTTTTCGACCAGGTAACTATTCAATTATAAGCATGTCATGTTTATCGACTATCTCGGCTTAACATAAGTTTGATTTAATAGCTATCCGGATATGCTTGCTACAAACATTGGGCCAGCAACGATTCTCTGGATGCAGTCTGCGATGCATACATACAATGGACAGAATATTCACAATTGAAGAATATACGAGAGGCAACATCATTGCGCCACAGATGTACACGGATTGGCTAGAACAAACATCAAATGAATCGATAAACTTGGTGTTCAAAACAATAGTTGATGGGCAAAACAGTCAATTATTTGACTTTCATAAGGTAAGCATTTGTAGAAATAATAATAGCGTTGACGTTGTTATTGCGCAGCACGCGTATTTTGTGTTTTAGTCAATGATTGTTCTAACGATATGATTATATATTCAAAATAGCTAACAAAGGATTATCCAGAAATATTAAACCCGGATAACATCTTGGTTATTGGAATCACTCAAGAACCATCAACCCGCAACTATTGTTTGGTGTTCTACAGTGAGATACGTACAATACTGGAAAAAGTTATGCGAACTGATGAGGATTTGATGATGTTTATGTGTTATAATGAGTTTTATGAAATCGAAGAGATTGGATCTAGTGGTTCTGCTACAATTTATACCGGTAAACGAATATCCTATCAATCAGAAAGACCGCGTAGTTCTCAAGCAGTTTAAAAATTTTGACCAGATACCGGAAGTATTAATCACCGAGGTAAGCAATTTGCGAATTGCTATTAATCTCCGATTTATTAAGCTGTTATTTAATCTGACGGTTACCTTTCATTAATAGTTCAGAGATCATGCCAAGTGTTTAGGTTTCACTAATGGCTTTTTTCCAATATACGGAGTTACGCAAAACCCAGTGACAAAAGAATCTTGATAGTAATGCAATATGCTATAGTGATGGTGATCTTTTACTTTATTTGAACCAGCATATTAACAACATGACATGGGAGATGAAATTAGCGTGTTTAAGGAATATTGCAAGTCAACTGAGGGATATCCATAACAAAGGACTGGTACACTGTGATCTCCACGGCGGAAACATAGTTTTCAAGAATTTTCAACCGTTCGGTCTGTCCAAATCAAAGTCGTCCGAGTCGAAACCAACCGTTCAGGGTGGTTTACCTTTTATTGCGCCAGAAGTCTTCAGTACTCGTAAATTTACTCCGGAATCGGACATATACGCATTTGGAATTATAATGTATACTATGGCCAGTGGTGAACCGCCTTTCAGGAATAGAGCATCTGATAGCAGTTTAGTGTGCGCCATCTGAGTGGGCTGACTGCAATGCCCTATTCCGCACCAAAAGAATACAAGGAAATTGCCGAGAGTTGTTGCAATGTTGATCCTAAGAAACGTCCGGTATGCCAGGAACTTTTTTCACGTATTCAGAAACTTATGAAAAAGATACGTTGTTGTGATGGGTCATAGCATGCCATCTTTACACGACTCGGGGAGAGTGAGTACTCTAATTATAATACATATGCTGTCTCAACTGGAAATTTGATTCAGCTGCAGATAAGAATTTATATTGATTCCGATAAATTAATATTAAGCATTATTGACTTGTTAGAATTTGTGTAAGCACGTACATAACATCCGGTTTATTCCGTGTTGTTGTTTAATATTAAAATTGAGTAAGACTGATATAATGTAAACGGCGTTGTGCTCACTCACAGACTGTGTGGTACGCTTGTAAAACTATGCATAAAATTATATTGATAGTTAGATATGAGGTTTTTGCGAATTCGTATTTCTCATATAAACGTCAATTGATTTTTGAATGTACTGTATATCACAGTGAAAATTTGTCAATTTCACGAGTAAATTCATTGCTATGATTAGAAATATGCTTAATATGCGATATTTTATGAATGTTCGATCGTAACATTAATACTGTAGGAGACCACACTGTTATGTATTTATTGTTATGTTCAACATTACCAAACGTTCAGACAACAACCTATTCTCAATATAGAGACGTGCTTATCACAGACACAACAACTTAAACATGTCACAAAACCCACCCAATTTGTTTAGTATAAATGCATTCACTTGTATACGCAGTCTTCATCTTCATTCTGTAACGTTATTTCCATACATGCTCTATATTGCGATAGAATATTTGTTAGAATTGATAGTCTTCTTGTTGACGGTAAAGCAACGCTTAAGTGTGATGTTACTGTGATCCAGTTAATCGACACATATAAAATAAATATTAAAATATGATCCATAGTCGACTATTGCACTCTTAACATTATTATGATTCGGAATGTGCCTCAAGAATATCAAGCGTCCATCAGTATGTATTAGTATTGGTAAAAGTGACGTTTAGCCAATAAACATACATTACCATAGTTACCCACTCTGTAGTTGAGAGAGTTGGATGTAACATTTTTAATGTCCCAACTCTGGTCATGAAATTAAGACTGGAGTGACTGGAATTACTTTAGATTAGATCCTTACATGTAACGAACTAATCAAAGTTTTCGAACAAATCTGGACCAATGGAATTATAGAATCGTCAGATGTGAGTTTCCACAGAAACGTTTTTTACATTTAACATCCGATCCGTAATCGTTGAGATGGCATTGAGTTCTGTTCGGTTCGTGAGCAATGCAATATCGGAAAATCGATTCCTCATCTACATACATTGGCCATATTGCCTCAGGTGCATAGGTTTTTTAGTCATTCAACGACATATATTTTAACTAATTTGTCAACTTTCGCATACATAGCAAATGCACATACTGCAATTTCAACAAATACATAAAGCCTTTTCCCGACCATGAGGGTATGAAGATGGCGTACCTGTCTGAGCTGTCGCATTTTATACAAGAAGCAGGGTTCAAGAATAAGAAAGTCCACAGCGTTTATTTTGGAGGTAGATTATAAATAACATTACCTGACTGCTACTTGTTGGAAATCGAACTAACAATGATCTGTTCAAGGGGGAACGCCGAGTAAGTAAATAATGAATTGAATTGTTTGTTGTGTGTTGGATGTTTTATTGCTAAATAATATCTCATGTAGGCTTAGCAAAGGTTGTATTAGTGTATGGTGCTTGGTGAAAAGAGTTTGTGTAATATTCAGTGGATTCTTCTACCTCATATCTAGCCGAGTAACATCGAAGCTATACTCAACAAAATAGCATGCTTGTGTGATTTATCTCTTCAAACCGAAATAACAATAGAGGTTGTAGCATTAAATTGTGTACAACTGGCTAGAATAAAGACTTGGCTTATACTTATCATACTGTTTTATTTCATCAACAAATAGGCTAATCCAACGGTAAATAGCATTATTTTATTCAAGCCTCCAAGTAGTTTCAGTAAACATATTGCATAATAACACTTACATAGTGCTAAAAACACTTTGGGTTCTTGCTAAATATCTATTGATGCTTCTGCCAGTCCATTGAGACTGAATCTCTTTCAAACTTTCAGTCAGTTGGGATAAATAGGCTTTCTCTTGGATTACAATCCCTCAATGATAAAGCACTCACTGCACTTGGTCGTGATCACACATCTCGAGAAGGATTGCAAGCACTTGAGGTGGCAAAAAAAGTCTTTGCAGGAAATGTAAATATTGATCTTATATTTGCAAGAATGAACCAGACGCCTGAAGAATGGCAGAAAGAATTGCAACATGCCTTGAAATTGGCTGACAATCACATTTCACTGTATGAACTTATGGTTAAATCTGGTACTCCGTAAGTATGAATAGTAAGAATATGAAGTGTGTTAGACTCCATTCTCAATTTTACACAACTTGTCTGGTCATTCTAGTTTATACAATGCATACAGGCAAGGAAAGTACATATTACCAAAACCAGAGAAAGTAGCTAACATGTATGAGACTGCTGTTAAGGTACTTGTTTGTTGCTACTTTTATCCATGTTAGCTCAAATACATTTGCTGATCAATAATAAACTATGACTGCTGAAGTTATCTGATAGGCATGGCTTTGTTCAGTATGAGGTGTCTAACTTTATGCGTAACAACAAATACAGTCATCATAACTCTGGATATTGGGCTGGATTAGATTATCTTGGTAAGCTTTAATTAATACTAAAGAGAAATGAATTTATGAAAAGTGATATAATATTTTTTGTTAAAAAAAAAAACAAACAAGGAATAGGTCCTGGGGCTCATGGGAGAATTACTGATCCAATATCTGGTATCAGGAAAAGGATGTACAATGTATGAAATATACATGTATGCCTACTATTTCCAAAAACTTTGACCTTCATTTATTTAATAGTTTTCATCATGACCACTAGATATTATCCCCTGATGAATGGATGTCTCAGTGCAAAGATACTGGCCATGGGTAATATTATTTTACTGCAGACCAATACATGATTCATCACTGTACTAATTAAATATTTAGGTTAAGGAAATCAGTGGTATTAAGTTTACATGAAGTGAAAGGTATTAATGGTACACATAGCATTAATATAATAAGTGCATTGAACTGATAACTTTGGTGTTATTAGATGAATTAATTGTTTTCAGTCTTCGAAGTAAGATGGGTATGTCATGTGAACAATTTAGAAAATTTTGTGGTGGACAGGAACTAGAAGAGGTAAGCATGTTATAATTGTCTATAAAGTGTAAATTAAACTATACAATGTTTTAATGTACCTTTTATCAGCATTTAAATATAAAACAGCTTCAGTATTGCATAGCCAACAAGTTATTGGAATGGCAAGAAAGTGAATCTACCAATGTGACAAACAGCTCAACAATGAACTCCTTAAAATTAGAAAGTAAGGGTGAGAAGATAAAAGAAAGTAAACAAAAGAAAGATAGAAGATTGTGTCCCACTGAAAGGGGTTTATGTGTAATTGATGAAATTATTCCAAGAATCTTACTAAAATGATAATTGCTATTTACACTTTGGGGTTTTTTCAGATAGATAAGTTTATAATCTGCTTACATTTAATATTACACATAAATAACCAAAAAAAATTCGAGGTCCCATGTTAATTTTTTAGAATGGTAGTACAGTGTTGTGCTCATTTTCCGTGTCATTTAGAATTTGATTGGTTCTTCATAGAATTTACGATTATTTAGTTATTTTTAAATTCGTTTCCGCTTTTTCAGTGTTGCTAAAGGTATATAAGTGACCATTATCCCATTGTCAAAAACTCATGTTGTAAATGTTGTCTAAGCTGTTCATTTGTTTGTTTGTTTGTTTTTTTAAACATAAAGTACATTTCCATTGCCATCATTTGCTGTATGAGCTTACCTTTTTTCACATAGTTTTGATATTCATTCGCTCTTCATGCTCTTCACTAGCATAATCACTATGCATAGAACTAACTTTTTTTCTGATGCTTATTTGTTCGTCAATATCAAGTGTAAACTCGATGGGTTATTCCTGAGGGTTCTTCTCAGCATCGCTTCATGATGGGCTTGTGTGATTAATGATTATATGTGGTATGCTTGAAAAGTAATGACAATTTGCCTTTATTTCTAAAAATTATGTTATGAAAGCCAAATAAACTATTTCA